CTGTAATGCTCTAATAGCAACTGAGTGTCAGTGGCCACCATCTTTCTGACCACAAGCAGTCATTTGCTACATCTAGTGGGCGCTACATGCCACTACATGGTGATCTATTTCCTATTCTAAAATATACATTAACATCCATACAGTTACAGGTGAGCCATACACAGCACTCTAGCAGATCAAACAGAGTCAGTGCTGTAGCTACAGCATTAAACAAACACATCTCACTGCTGTTCTTACTGTATATGTCAGACTCCTGTATTTTAAAGATCCAGGGCATTTAGGCCAAATTCAGAGAGCAGCTCCTTGTACTTTTGATGAAGAGTTGCGCTTTCGTCTTCCCAACCCTGTCGAGTCGCAGACAGCTGGGAACTCAGGCTGTCGAGAGTCTCCTGCAGAAAACATGGGCAGCATTAAAATGCAAGCTAAGATTTTCCCTTCAAGTCACCGACTTGTCCAACCTGATTTCCCTCCCTTCTTAACCACCTTTATCACTGATGAGTTGTAAGGGTGCACTGAAGGAGGTTTAATTAGATTCTGTGTCATACTTGGGAAGAGAGGAATAATGTTAATTACATATTAAAATCCTATCTCTGCGATCAGAGGCTGAGCCCTCGAACAGGGCTCTAAGCTTGACCACTTACCTTTGAAGATCTGAGCGCTGAAAATTTGCATGCACTGTCTGTAGCCAGCCAGTCGGACTCGGGCGCTAGCGAAAAGGTCAACAATGACCCCATCCCTCATCCATTACATCTTAATGGAAAAAACTCCCAGGAAGTGGAGTTTTTTTTTCTTCATATTTGTCTCACTTAAATGTTTTGGGTCATAAAACAAACTCTAATATTAGATGGAGATAACCCAAACAAAAAGCTGAGTTCAGTTTCACCTACCACACCCAGTTTAAATTGCTGACATAGCTGTTGAATCAAGTAACAAGAACCTGTCTGACAAAATGTAGCAGGCTAAAAGGCAACACATCATGCCACGATTGACAGAAAACAACTGAGAAACAAAGTGATTGACATCTATCAGTCTAGAAAGGGTTACAAATCCATTATAAGGCTTTAGGACTTTATGGAAAAAAAAACTTTATCGAGAAAACTTGGAACAGGGTTGTACCTTCCCAGGAGTGGCAGGCCTACCAAAAAAAGCACTTTGATGACTCATCCAGGAGGTCACAGAAGAACCCAGAACAACATTGAAAAAACCGCAGGCCTCACTTGCCTCAGTTATGGTCAGAATTCGTGATTCAACAATAAAAACAGATTGGGCAAAAATGGCATCCATGGGTGAGTTCAAGAAGAAAAACCACTGCTGAAAAAGGAGGCGCTCATATCACATTTGCCAAGCGACATCTTGATGAACCCCAAGGGCTTTTTGAACATTTTCTGTGGATTGACGAGACAAAAGCTGAACTTTTTGGAGGTTCCCTATTACATCTGGCATAAAACTAACACAGCATTTCATAAAACGAACATCATATCAACAATCAAACTTGGTTTTGTGGTGTGATGGTTTTGGGCAGCTTTGCAGCTTCAGGACCGCATACTACTCATACTTATAAACCCTCCAATATAGATGAATGAAAATAATTCTGCGAAGAAGAGTGTCTCAAATGGCATGTAAATGTCACAAATATGCAAAAAAATAAGAAATCAGGAAGAGGGCGAATACTTTTCTACAGTACTATTTGTGGCTTCTTTTTTACAGCAGTTTCTCGGTCATGTTGATTGCATAATTTCTGGTGTTATGTGCATTGATAGTTCCGTAAAGCTGCAAAGTTTGTAATGGCGTAGTAAGTTTTCTGAACTAAGCACCATATTTCAGGCCTGCTTATAGAAGAAAATTACTCACTTTGCATCAGAAGTTAGTGAGGACATTCTCTGCCTGTGCAGCTACACTTGGGAAAAAAAAACTACTCTAATGGTCATAAAAGGACATCTTTATTGATACGTACTAAGGTGTCAAAACTTGAGGATACAGGGGAAGTCGGCAAATGTCATTTTATGGGGGAAGAATTAAACCACATCTATACTGTACACTCCATCTAGTTTTTTAGTATTTCTGACCTACGATTATTAGACATAAACTGCAACAGTTTTCATCAGCATCATCATAATATCATATGAATCATTTTTAAGTCACTTAACTCATATAAAACATCCATGACAGCTCTATTAGCGTTTGCTTAGTTTGTCATTTTAGACTGAATTATCAGCTCAAAGCAATCATACATTCAGGAGCTTGACTTTCAAGAAACTGGTGTCATCACACTGCTCTTTCAAGAGTCACACATAAGCTGCAGGTCTGACCAACAAGAAGAAGTGCTAGTACCTTCCCATGACTTTGGCGGAACTAACTCTGAGATCAAGTTCTCTGAGGGTTGGCCTAACTGCACATACAAGACAAAGCTGCCCCACATTGTGCAAAAGGTTACCTCAAATGGGTATTTTCGTATACGTGTAGGCTTTCAAATGCGTATTGTTGCCACAGTGTGTGCTTGAACTGCCTTGTGTTGAAACTCACATGAAGGATCTTCTCATAGTCTGACTCCATGTTGTCCAGCTTTTGTCGAAGGTCTGCTATGATGGCATCCTTCTCCTGCTCCACTTGCTTACGCTCACTTTTCTCTTTACTCAGTTCCTCCTGGGATAGGGCTATACAAATACAGAGAGTAAACTCTTATGTGGATCCATTTGTTTGATTATACTTTAAATATAGATAGACCATACCAAGGTCTTCCTTCAGTTGGCTGACTTCCTGTTCCAGTTTCTTCACCTTGTTGGTCAGTTCGGTCTGCATGGTTTTGTACTGGCGACTGAGGTCTAGAATGACATTTGCGTCAGCTATTTCAGACTTCATTGCTGATTCACTTTGAAAAGCTAATACAGCAATCAGCTTAAGCGCCCGGCTAATTAGATTTTTTGTTCCTCAAAAATTACCCTAACCTCGGCAAACACACCCCTTGTCCTCACTCCCAAAGGGATCCGCACTTTGATCAGGTTATTAAAAGACAGACTAATTTTGGATTCGTGCCCCATCTGTACCCACCCCAGTAGATGTCCCTGTGGTCTTGTCTCTCGCGCTGCAGCTTCTGTTCCATGTCTCTTACACGTCTCCTCAGGTCAGCTCTGTCTGACTGGACCCTTCTTAAAGCCTCACACTGTAAGGCTGCAGGAAGTCACACAAACACATGCAGGCATTGAACGTACAAACCAGAGGGAGCTTTCTTTGTTTTTTGTTTTCATAAGCAAAAGTGGAAATTACTTTCTTATCAAAACTTGTATTGATGCAAACTAAATTATCCATTAAACATGCCCAAATATGCAGTCAAGTTTTAACATGTGGGCTTTCATTTCCACTTGTATTGCTTTTAGACGTTTTAAAACATGTTTTTTTTTTTTTTTTAGTATTTTCTATCCTTTTATGGGCCAAAAGACTGATCTCTTAATAACTCACTTAAAATCTATATACAACCCAATAACATGGGAGATCAGCGATTTAAAAGGGAACAGACATGACAAGGAATGGATCTGCTAAGTCATTTTCAGTTTGACCCTTTATGTAATAATCATACAATCTGTTTTTATTATTTATAAAGGAATAAAACCTCAAGGCTCACCTATGTGATCCTGCAGAATGGCTATATCCAGAATACTGTGCCTATGCTTTTCTTCCACGTCATTTTGACCTGTAACAACACAGAAATATGTGTAAGAAATAGAAGATCTGCAGTCACGAAAGAAAAAAAAGAATCTCGATTACATTTTTCTGGACTTTTCTCTGCGGTCTTCTTTGTCTTCTTCTTCGGGGACATGCTTGCTTAAGGCTGCCTGTTCAACCCACGGACACGCACAGGCTCACAGAGGGCCTACGCTTACTGTATGGTGGTGAGACTCTGTTGCTGTGCACTGGTTGCTGAGTGAGCAGCCATAAAACAAAGTGTCCGGTTTAATTGATAGTTGAGTGACTTTTACAACAGCCAGTCACACATGACTGGGGAACGCGCACAGCGCCAGCTGCCTTCAGTATATGTGAAAGCGTCTTTTGTTGCTAGGGGTTACCGAGGCCCGAGCCGGGAGAACTCAGAGATGCACTCAGCATCTCACTGAGATTTTATGAATGCTCTACAGGCAGACGCGCGTGCTCGGTTACATTCATTTATCGAGAACGCGCTTTAAAAAGAAGGCGGGGAGTTTAGGGTTTGGGCAGCGGGGAGAGAGACGAGAGGGTGGGGGTTAACGGAAGAGGACGTACAGGAAAGGAAAGGGCCGCACATACACGTCAGAGGGGGGAAACAGAAAATGCTGGGCAATGTTTAAATCCCATAATTATTTATTCACCCTAGTTCCCGTCTATGACCGTGAGGCTTTCGCAGCTTTAAGTTCAACTTCCTCTCCTCGGTCGTCGCTGAGCGCTTTGTGTCGTCAGGCTCGCAGCTCGCAAACGAGTGCTGACAGTGTCACACAGCCTCTGAACTTCCCCTGAAGACACGGCACAGCCGAAAAGAGCTGCTGCTGACAAAAGAGAGGAACGACATCGCGGCTTGGACGGAGGCGAGGACACGCTCGAGTCCTGCGAAGAAACCGTTGCCATTGTCCTCCAGCTGAGGGCGAGAGGAGCCAGGTCTGGTGCTCCGTTAATTAGCCTGCGTGGGTCCCTGCAGAGAGAGAGGGAGACGCTGAGCAACGCAGCCTGCTAGCTGCGGCACAGAGGGGGACTTGTGCAGGGTGTGAGTGACCGTTGGGCTTGTTTTATCCACAATCTGGACATTTATCTACCAAATAATCATGTTATATTTACTGATGGGAGCCTTTATCCAATAGTCATCTCTTCCTCCCTCATTTTACCCCCGTCGGACCCTGGCTCGGATTCGCCGCTCGGGCGCTGTCCTCACAGGGGGTACGGGATCACCATCGCCCGGTCCAACCAACTCCAGGCGGCGGTTCGGTCCCCCTGACCCCCTGCCCTGCCTCACCTCGCCTGTCTGCCGCTGTGGCCGACCCTAGCCGAGCCCGAACATGGCTGGGAACCTGAAGAAAGGCGGGGGGATCATCGGAATGATGAAGGATGCCTTCCAGCCACACCATCACCACCTCCACTCCCATCACCAGCCCGGGGCCGTGGACAAAAAGACGGTGGAGAAATGCTGGAAACTAATGGACAAGGTTTGTCAACGTTAAGCCGTTAGCGTTTGCTTACGCGTCGGATGGCTAGAGCGACTGCTAGCTAACCGTAGCTAACTTGCGATAAGCTAGCTAATCTTCGCCTGCTGAAGGTCTGTTGTTGCTAAGTTAGCTAACAGGCTGGTACAGGATATGGTTAGCTAACTTTAGCTCACAGATAACCTGAACTCTTGTTTTGTTCGTCATGTGGCACGCCACTTTCGTAGCAGCTTAATATTAACTGGCATAGGAAGGCTTAGTTTATTACTTGGCAGGGTTGTTAACACTTTCGGGTAACTACTCTTTAGTTGTGAAACCGCGGTGCATAGCGTTACATTGTTTGACCACGGCTAAATATTTTAAGGTATATCACAATCTTTAGCTCTAACAGGGAGGTTAGTATTCTTTAAATATGTCACATAAGAGCTGAATCTAACGACTTTGTGACAGGAAATTGAAATACAAGGGCTCCCAGCACTGCAACGGTGTCTCCTGTAGCTCGTTTATGAAAAATCTATAGTCAGCTGTCTGTCAACCCTTGAAAATTGTAACAAATTGTTTAGAGAACAAGAAAAGTACGCATTTTACGTGTCCAGCTATGGTCTTTACCAGGGGAGAGTCATCTCACTGCTTTACTTCTCGGAAAAAAGCCTGCAACAGTTTGACCCCCAGTTTCCTGTGAGATTCACACACGGCTTTTTTGTTTCTCAACTTCCAACGCGACGCATTATAAACTATGATGCCTTTGCAAAACTACTAGCACATTTAAGTGTGTTTTGCTTAGTCGAGCCTCAATTAGCACAGACAAGAACACAAGTGGCAATGAAACGTTGATCTTTATTATCACCTTGTTTTCTGTGAATGTTCAACACTTCTGTAGAAAGCTTGTCTAATACAGACCAAAGAAGAGGGAGGCCTCTGATCTGCCACACATTAAACTACCTGCCACCTATCAGTCTGGCTCTTGCAGTTTACAGAAGGGATTATTTTGCCATGTTAATGTTTTTTTTTTTTAGAAACTGATTGACTGGAAGAAAAACAGCCAGATAAAGGAATATCTTACCTTTAAAAAAAAAAAAAAAAGAAGCTATACCTCACGTGCCAAAGTGATTTTACTCCATGGGACTGCGTAAAATAGCAGCAGAAGTATATTTAGTATTATCTAAAGTGAACCCACAAACCAACAGATACCACTGACCAAGACCTGCAGAACTATAACGCAGTTTCTCCTTGAAAACACCTCCCACGTAGAACTAAGTTAAATTTTGATCCTCTGTTACTTGCTGTACCTGTTCTTCAAGATCTGTATCTGTTGCAGTGGCTAATTTTTATCTGTTGTCACATCAATTTTGTGCTGCCTGAATGCTCAGTGATAGTGCGACGAAGAGCTCAAATCACTTTATTTTTTCATGATGAAGATATGGTTGTTTTTTGTTTTGTTTTTTTCTCTGGCGGATAAAGAAAATGATTGTCAATTTATTTATAGGCAAATTGCTAATCAGGCCGTGGTTTTACAGTTGGGGCATGTGTCAATGTGTAAAGTCAGTATTCTTAATTTAGCTTTCCTGTATTAACAGGATCTGATGTTAAAACAAGTTTAACATCAGATCCTGTTCTTGTCTCTGTTGTTGCACTGCCACATCCTTTTGGCTAATTAGGTAAAGTAATACTCTAAACTAAAATCAGAAGTATTAGCTACGGAAATGCGTTTAGTAAGATTTTAAGTTTTGGCCAATATCAAGCCCTGAATTTCACATCATAATCTAAGACAGTCATTTATTTATTTATTTTTTTATTTTAATCAGTTTTATGCGTACAAGACATTGTTCGCGGTGTGGAGGTGTATAGTTGAAAGGTACTTAACATTTACACAGCTCGTTCTTCGTCTTCATTCTTTTTCATGCCTTTTTGGGACTAAACAAGTGTATCAAGACGATGATTGCTGCTTGGCCTACAACATGGATTGACTCTATTTAGTGTATAGACACTGATCATAATACCACATTACCTTCTCCTGCTGTGAGGAATCATTATTACTCTTTCAACATTGAAAACGTTTAGGGGACATTGTCTCACTAAAGTGTGAGAAAGCACTTAAAATGGCTGTTTGCAGCTAAAATCCCCCAAAATTCAACCAGCTCCAACTTGTCTTCAACCTGTAAAATACCTTGAAGTTCATGTGGAAAAATCTACATAATCACACCAGGTGTAGAATCACCTGAGAGCGAGAGAGAGACAGAAAGATCAGTGGAATGTAATTTAGCTCGGAGGGGATCAACATTTTACTTCAAGTCAGAAGCTTTAACACATGCTGACATAGAGCATTCAGCAGTTGTGACCTTGTACCAGCGCATGCATGGATTATGTTTGGCTGAGGGTTGGGCACAAGTGTTAGCACTAAGCGCTTGGAGGCCTGGAGAAGGTTAATGGAATTGGGACACATTGTTGGTAATATTGGCTCTTTTTTTTTTTTTAAGTTCTCCAACAGTCACGGCTCAGTTTGGTAGACTCAATCATTTTTATCAGCCAAATCATCAAGGTGTTTTTATTTTTACTTATTATGCATTAATATTTGTATAGTTTAATTTTTGAATCATGATAGTGGAATATGTTGCACGGTAAAACAATGTAGTCTATACAGCATAGATTCATATGCCTAAAAATAAAACTACATTAACAATTGTAATACACTTAAAAAGTTTTTCCATTGATGATGATTAATAAACAAAGTGTTTGAGCTCTTTGAAGTCTCATTACTTCCACAATGCCACACTGATGCCTTTTAAATGGAGGAAGCAAGGAAGTTCATAACGACATTCTTGTAATGCTGTTCCTGCCATATCTCTTTCGTACATTTTCACATGATCAGTGGACAATAATTTGGCCTGGTCTGCAAAGAATAAGCCACGTCCTGTTTTTGACATACAGTTGTTCAGTAACTGAAGCTGACAGCCTGGCTACACAGATGTATAAAAGCTTGGGCTGGAATCGGGACATGACACCCAAAATGTTTGGCTGTGTGTTTCGTAATGATTCATGAATTGACCCGGCGAAGTGCAACACTGCAGTTAGATTTGTTGCACATTTTTGAGGATGAAACATGTTAATGCGCTCTCCTGAATGTCTTCAACGTTGTCATAAACTTGGTTCCAGTCATGGTTAACATGTTTTATAAACCCATGTGACAGATGATTGTCACGTTCACGGTTCGGGTGAGTCGGTGTTCGTAGATAGACACTCGTGTTTGTCAAAAAAAATTTGGCTTTTGTTTGCATTTGTGTTCTCGAAGTTGCTCACTTGAGGTTTTTCAAATTTGCAAGGCAATCATGTCCAAATGTTAAGTAGAGAGAATTTGAGTCTGTAAGGCAGAAGTAGCATAGGATGTGCAAATTAAAATGGGGAAGTGTAAACTCATTAACAGCTTCTGTAAACATGCTCAAGAAGTGGAACATAGAGGGACTACATGCTTAAAACATGCTAGTCAAAAGGGGATGGGAAGGGTGCAGGAATTCTTGTTTACAAAATGTAATATCTTAAAAAGGAGAGCTACTGTAGGGTTAGGACTATGCGCTACACCAGCTAAATCTCTTTTTCTTAAAGTTGAATCACAATGCACAATATGTATGCATTTTCTACTTAATGTTCAGTCAGAAGTCAAAGCCACATGTGACACATCACAGGCCCTTTTAGCATATTTTGAAGCAGCAGGTGCAGAACGCTATTGCTTCATAAAAGTTTAAATCTGCTCGTTAGCTCTTTGCACTCTCTCACTGAGCCTGCATAATTGTATGGGTTTTATTCTGGTTGGTGCAATTTTATCTCACAGTTCAAAGACACAAAGGTTAAGTTGGCTGATGATTATAAATTGGCTTTAGTTTTGGATTAAATGGTAGAAACTGCTGTCTCTCGTTGAGTTAGACATGTTATGGACTGGCTACCTGTCTAGGGTATCCCCCGCCTGTTGTGTTAGCTAGACTTCAGCCCCCTGTGACACAATTTGGATAAACACTTGGGAGTGTAAATCACCATCCAACTGTGTCTGTTGTGTTTAAAAATGTATATTTTCACATGAAATGCTGCGTAGCTGTAGTAAATGAATAAAAAATGCAGGCGACTAGCTACATAATTAATGTAGGTTTGCCATCTAGTTCATTCTGATAGTACGGTGATAAGTAAACTAACTTAAGATGTCACAAGGTATTTAAACTTTGCTACTCTGTCTATATTTTCGATTGCATAATATACAGACTTGCATCACTCTGACTACTCTTAACTTCACAAAATGTTTAGGGAACACTTTCTTTGTCTTTTTAACTTTATTGGCTTTTTCTGTTCTGCACGTCTCCTGTCTAGGCTCACAGACACTACTTTGCACTAAAGATAAGTGCTCTAATGCAAGAAGAAGCTAATTTATGTGAAATTCTCTATATGATATAAATACTACCTTAGTGATGTAGAGAGTGAAAATGCATAGTGACACATGGAATGGATTGTGCAGATTATCTTTCTGTTTCTCTGTCCCTTTAACTGCTCTTTCATCACTCACTTTCTACCACATCTTTTAGCTTGAGTTTTATCTTATGTATTCTTTCTAACTGTATCTTGCCCTCCCCCTCACATCCTCCCTTTCTGCAGGTGGTGCGGCTATGCCAAAACCCCAAACTGGCTCTGAAGAACAGCCCTCCCTACATCCTGGACCTGCTGCCAGACACCTACCAGCACCTGCGCACCATTTTGTCTCGTTACGAGGGCAAAATGGAGACTTTGGGTGACAATGAGTATTTCCGGGTCTTCATGGAGAACCTGACAAAGAAGACCAAGCAGACCATTAGCTTGTTCAAGGAGGGCAAGGAACGCATGTATGAGGAGAATTCACAACCAAGGTGAGAAAACTGGATGAAATACATGGAATAGATGCCCATCTTAATCGTATCAGTGTCTATGTTATAAATTATTTGCCTTCTCAAGTTCAAATGCTTTTCTCAACCTTGCTGAGCTGCTGTGTTCATTGTCTTCAATGAAACACATCTGAAACGGGAATTTCAAGGTGTGAAACCTTCTTAATGCAGCAGTTCATTGTGAATAATTCTGACAATGCAGGTACAGCGTGAACAATTGCTCCCACCCCCAGCCCCAAGGCTGGCTGTAGCTCAAGAAGCATCAAAACAAGAGGAAAGATGTGTTGTGGTTTGAGCATGTGAGCGTTTGTGGTCAAAATGGCGCTTAATCTACAGCTGCCTGCCTGCATGCTGCTTTGTTTTTGTGCCTTCATATCTCTGCCATCTACTCGAGCATAGTTTCGCCATGTAGTTTATTTTACTTTTTTGAAAAGTCACATGGTGCCTCCCGCTTGTCTCTTTCTTTTGTCTTTCTTGAAGTTTTTTTCTCTATCTAGAAACAGAGTGAAGTGTATAGTCTGTCCCGAAAATAAGTAGATGTCATGGCTTTGTTTGGAGAGACTCAGATTATTGAAAAGACATTCCATTTGGGTTTTGTTTTTGTTGTTGTTGTGTTTTTGTTTGTTTGTTTGTTTTTTACAAAAAACAAAAAAACCTCAGTATAAAGTGAGGTTAGTGGTAACTGGCAGCCTTTCTTGAGGTGCAGACTATACTGGAAGAAGCTGATCTTCTTTGTATATATTTACAGATGCCCTTTTAGTTTCATGTATGCTGTGGGTGAATGCTGTTGGACTTTGTTGTGATTTGAATACTTTTTCCTTTTACAGCAGATCACTCCAAATGACATGAACTGCCGTCAGATTTTGTGCCTGCAAGGACTTTGTCCAGAATATCTTTTCTCACTGGTAGTAGGCAAGATGACTTGCAGCAGTTTTTTTTTGTGTTGTCAAGGAAACCTTTATGACAGACTGCCATCTTCAGTAGATTTTGGACCCTAAGTTATTTGAAAATGGGTGAACTGAGACCATAGTCAAAGGACATAATACCCACTATGATACCAAGTACATCGTACTTACAGGTAGTAGTTTTGCCTGAGCACACATGTTCTTCAGATGTCAACTGGGAAACTAACCATGGCCAAGTTTCCCAGGCATCATTTGTTTTTTCACAATGCACATTACAGAATGCATGTGTTAGTTTAGTCAAAGGAAGACAGCACAAGTTCTACCCACACATAGGGCAAAACTATTCATAGTTCTCCATTATCTTCAACACATAAAGGCACCTCCTTGGCAATTCCAACTCCAATCGAAAAACCCTGAAGGTTCCCTGCAGCGTGAAGAAAACACAGTCATTTGTTTAAGCCGCCAAACTGAATAAACAGGTTTTCTATAGGGCACAAAAGTGGATCCCAGCAGTAAGACAGGCGGCGCTATCAGTAGTAATAAACATGTAGGATCCTGACACAGTACATCTACTTGTACATCAAGACATTTGTAAATAATAAGTGCGATATCCAAGTTTCAACTGTAGGCTACTATATTTCTGCAAGATGACCTTTAGCATTTTGACAGTAGGAATCTTTTGTTGTAGTGGTATGTGGATGATTGAGAGACCGGAGGTGGATTGACAAAAAATTAAGAGGTATTGTTTTCTAAATAAAGTTTAGAACCATAGAAACAATAACATCAAAACAACACTGTTTTTAAGTTGTCATATATAAGAATGAATGAATGACCTGGCACCATATTTCTTTGCTGATAAGGTTGACCGCGACCTTTTATCTAGTTTCCGATAGACTTTTCTTAGGATTAGTCTAGGACATTAAAGAAAATATAATTGTGATATCCTGTTAAATTAACACTGTCTAATTAACATTACAGATGGGTGGGACTGATAACATTTGCAAGCATCATTTTATTATTAGCCATAGCCGCTACCTTCTACCAATGATAACAAACAGCATAATGTTGCTATCAGGTAATTGCTAATGCTAGGCTAACATTTATTATAACTGTTTAATACTTAAAGCTTCGTTTTCAACAAAATTTACTGACGTTAGTGAGGAAAGGGCTTTATGCCAGTATTAGCCAGTACTAAGCTGATATTTGTACTGAGTGTGGGATCTCAAGGTGGTTCATCTCTGCCAAGTAAAGCTTATATGTGAAGTTGATCAAAAGTAGTTTATTTGTTATATTGGTGCTAATCCACAGACTGTATGTATAAGATGGAAGCAGCTTCCAGCTTTGAAAAGTGAACACCCAAATGTGGTAAACCTGCATTTTTAAAATAAAAAAAAATAAAATAAAAAAAAGTAATTAATTAATGGCCAACAGGGAGTTGCTCTTCCAGTTACACAAAGACTTCCAGTAGTATAAGTTTGTGGAAAATTGGCCATCGACTCCCTTTCTCTGTAACTTCAGTAAACACTTAACAGATGATTCAAGTCATGCTCAATAGAATATTAACTACATTTTGTAGACTTTGGTCATTGTGAGAGTCAGAACCGTGTCTTTATATGCAAGAAATGAGAATTTGTAACAACTTGTTACGGACAAGTCTGCAATCATGATATCAGGGCTACCCACCCTTGCTCATTGCTCATCTTGGGATGATGACTGACATTACTGTGGCAGCGTCTTGTTTGTTTTTTTTTTTTTTTGTTTGTTTTGTTTTGTAATACTCCGTGTGCTAAGTCCTCCTTTGCTGTTGGCATTTTCTTAATTTTCAGAGTTTTCTGGAGTGTAACTATAACCATGTTACTATTGTCTGACCTCGGGAAAATTTTATTTGTGTTGTGCATTATAAATTTTCTAATTTCAAGATCAAGTAATCAAGTAAACTTATTCGACCATTCATAATTTAAGACTAGTATGCACTTTTTACTAAAGTCTGTAAACTTTGTTACAGTAATAAGGAGTGTGACTATCACTTGATCTTAGTAAAGATGATAATAACAATAGAAATAAAAGTCTGAAAGTTTCAAAGTTTGCAAAAACAAAATTTTGCCAAGCACTTGTGATAAGATTAAACGTGCAGTCAAAAAGAGAGAGAGAGAGAAGCCAAAAAATGTATGTCATTGAAGAAGCCACTAGTGGTTTACTTTGGACAGCTGTAATGCTTCACCACTGTGAAAAAAAACCAAAAAAAAAAACCTCTAGAGCAGAGTCAGTGTGCAGCAAATTGGCTCACATAGTAGCCCTCTGTGGATAGTTGCTTTTCCAGTGTTGCTGTGCATGCTCTTTGTAATAACGCACTGAAAAGTCTACAGTCATACGTGAAAGGAAAGTGAAGATTTCGACTATTTATATGCCTGCAACGAGGAAGTGGATTTGTTGTATGGCTTGAATGACAGCGAGAAAAAAATGGCTTAAAAGTGGGCTCATCGGTACCACCAGATTTTGATTATTGCAATAAAAACGAACACAGGTGGCTAAAATTTGGTAGAAATTTAGTTGATCGGAGTAAATTTCCCTCCAAGGCTAGATCACTTGATCACTTGCAGAACTAAATCAGAAATACATGGTTCTAATGTTTCTTCACACATTGGTGTAACCTGGTGTTTCCTTTGAACATAGTCTCTTTTTTTTTTTCTTTTAAATTAAGCAATCATTTTATCAAGTCAGTTGTCAGATGTACATCCTCATCTAGTTGCTCAGTTCCTCAATAAGATTGTTTTCTTTCAGCTGCCATGACCGTAATGTTGCAGACATAGAAGCAAAAAAATGCCAAAGCAACCAGAGAGAAGAGGAAATGTCTATGTGAACCACTCCTGTATTTGACATGAGGCGATAAAGCTGTTTTTAGACATTGTGTCAATTTCTCTGTGAAATTTGTTTTTATCATTGCTTGATTGGACCAAGAGACTGTGCAGAAAGAAGGGGAAAAAATCGTGCTTGAAGGAGAGGAAATGGACACACAGACAGTAGCCAGGCATTACACACAAAGACTGCCATTGTCTCAAAGGAGAAGGCAGTGGCAGTGACACTAACCAATGGGTGTCAGCCCACTTAAAAATGCTATAGAATTGACCAATGACGGAGAGATGCTAGGAAACTAATAAAACAGAAACTTGGTTAAACAGAAGATGAGGATAATATGGGCCTCAAATAGAAAAATGAAAATGCAAGACCGACTGACACTTGTTATCTCCACCACTTTAACTTCAGCCAACATCAGTGCTTGTCAGCCATTGACTTCAGGGTCTATGATTGGGCTTTATGTCTATTTTCAAATCAAAGTGAAGGATCTCAAGTGTGTTATAAGAGCCCCAAATGAAAAGTGGGTGGATATGCTGTGATGCGATGTCGTGCAGACTTCTCCGCAGTTTTTGGCTTCTATTTATCCAGCCCCCCACTAACGCATAAGCCACGCAGATTGTTTAGCTTTAGAGATGAAGCAGAGTCGCGGTAGCACAGTATACGCCTGGGTTTGTTGAGCAACACTTTTCGCTTGGGCTTTGACTGTGGGAGCAGCTGAGTCGGGTGGAAACGAGGTGCAAACATAGTCACAGAGGAGAGGAAAAAGAGGGGGTTCGTTGTTGAAAGTCGAAGAGGGTAAGATGAAAGTGAGTCGACTCTAAGCAAAACTTAATTAACAGTGACAACCCATATTCGGTCAGAATCGTTATGACACAGTCAGCACTTCCCCCTTGTTTGCTTCACTTACTTCCTCTTCTGGCTTTACGCAGCACAATCGAGACATTTTCCGCTGTAGGAGTTCACAAAGAGCCAGACTGTTAGTTTATTTTTAATATACAGTTTAGATTAGTTTTAAATTTCAACCCAAGACCAAATGTACATTATTGCCTGTTCTCAAGATGGCTAGAAGAGTAGGATTAGCCCTTAAAGCTCTTCCTTTTCTAAGCAGGAAGTAGAGCTACAAAGTCAGACCATATTGTGCTATAAAAAATGACCAGTCACTACTTCTGCACTTAACAGCCCAGTGTTTTGTAACTGTGGTCTCTTGTTGGCTGTTAATTGGTC